ACAATGTTCACTGCAATGTTGAAATTAAAAGTGGTGTCTCAGTGCCACTAAATTATTTATCTTATTTTATTTATTTCCGTTTTAAGAATATAAGTTTATCAACTGTAGCATTTAATCCTCATCATCATAAGTGCGAAACATCCCGTCACCAAAACGGGGTCACCTCCTAAAGACTCCGCCAGTTTGTTCGGTCGTTTGTTGCAGCTCTCCAGTTCCGAACTCAGCAACAGCAAGTAAGGCCCGCGCGTCTGCATAGACCAAGTCCATACATCGCACGTTCGGTCGCCCAACTCGCCGTTTCCCGTGGAGCTCTTCTGCAAGAATCATTTTTGGAATGACGTTGGCAGCCATCCTTTGCTCATATCCTGCCGATCGAAGTCGTCCGAGCTTCACTATGTCAACATCGTTGTAGAGCCTCGTTAGTTCGGCATCCTCCTTCTCCAGAGGTCGTCCTGTCTAACAGGACCGCAAATCCGTCTAAGAATGATCCGCTCGAAGACAAAAAGCCAGGACTCACCAGCCTTTGTGAACACCCCACGAATTGGCGGACCAGAGGCTTGTAGAGCTTTATCTTGTTCCGGTTAGAGAGCATTTTACTTCTAAAATGTTTGGCTAAGTAGCACGGTTAGCTGCTGCAATCCTCCTATTTACTTCCTGGGTAATGTCATTTTGGGAGTTGATTTCCGAACCCGAAGTTATTTGCCTTCTGAATACGGGACTCTCCTACAAACGAGCTGTGTTACAAAGTCCTTCCACACCCATCTTATTCCCCAGACTTCTCCAAATCTCCAACAGATTTCAATCTATTCAGAAATTTGGAGAACTATCCTTAAAGGTAAAATTTTTATCAATTTCATCAAATCGAAAACGCATTTCCTGACTTCATTTGTTTTACAAAACTCTAATTTTTTTAGTTGTGGGATTAGTGCTCTCGATCAATCTCCGCTGGCTTTAGTACCAGTGATGCGATTAAGAGAGTAGCGCAGGGTTCTCCTGGAGTTCCCTCGTCTAATTGTAAATAGTGTATATAGGTATGCATGTGTTTTATGCTTAGTTTTCTTATTCTTAGGTTATTTTATTTTATTATTTATTGTATATACTTTTGATTATTATTTTGCTTCTGTTTATTTTATATTTTTTCTACATATAGTGTGAATGTTATCCTAACTCACTATAACTAATGTCCAAGAGACAGATTGTTGTAATCCTCAAAAAAAAAAAAAAATTATGGGATTGAGAAGTTGAAAACACGTTGGGGGAAATGTATAGAAAATGAGGGTTAATATTTTAGATAAAAATTTTTGATTTCACGAAGTTTTTTTTTTTATTTAACGACTTATACAAAATTAGTCATATGTCGTCACCATATATAAGTTTATTTCATAAAGTTGATTTATTGAATAACCTTTCCTGTGAAAACTGACATTTTATATGAAACAAACCAAACTCATAGATCGATCCCTAAGTGATTAATTGAAAAATTCATTCAATAATAAGTAGGATGTGTCCAAATGAAACTTTGCCAATCTCGTTAAAACAATGCCGACATGCCGATTACAGTCTACCGATAAAATAAAACCCATTAAGATGATTAATGGGTAGTTTATTCGATTATAAGGAGGATATTCCAAGTCAGAGTGTACAAACCTTTATGGAAGGGGAAAAAAGAAAAATATCAGCATATCTGCCTTTGAAATATCAATATCGGTATAATGAAGAGAAGAATAGTTGGGGTGCTCAGTCAAAAAGGAAGGCAAAAAATAAATTATAATATTTATTTTTTACATATGTAAAAAATAAATATTATAATTTATTTTTTGCCTTCCTTTTTGACTGAGCACCCCAACTATTCTGGCATATGTAAAAAATAAATATTATAATTTATTTTTTGCCTTCCTTTTTGACTGAGCACCCCAACTATTCTTGGCATATGTAAAAAATAAATATTATAATTTATTTTTTGCCTTCCTTTTTGACTGAGCACCCCAACTATTCTTCTCTTCATTATCCACGACAGTCAACCAATTACCAATTACAATATCGGTATAAATTTCTATAACGGTCGATCCCTAGATTTGTCCTCCTGCTATGTATCTTAGATACTAGATTTAAACATTTAATATGACTAAATAAAAAATATTATAATAATTGCTAGCACAAGTCAGATGACGTTAGTGTACGTACTTAACTGAGCGATCTTAGTGACTGTTGGATTTACATCCATAATTTTTATTATTTATAATATTTACTATTATATTATAAGATTGTATAAATAAAACAGTTGATTTATTTGATTTGATTATGGCACCTCTGCTCTCATCCTACCACCTCTCGAGGACGGGGTGCCTTATCTACGAGCGAAGTCTAGGCACTTGACTAAACACATGGCTTCGTCCTCACTAATTCAGCCGACTTCAGCAGAGACAGCCAGCGGGTAGCCTGAACCCTCATTTGCTCTGCTGACCTTAGCGAGGAAGGGCTTGGAGCTAACCCCGGAGGAGACAGCCCTTTCAGGTACAAAACGAAGGCAGCGAGGGGACAGCGGCGGCATAGGAGGGAAGCAAAAAATCTACGGACCTGAGACCGACCCTCCGCAAATAATTGTATGTCACATTAATACTTCACATATTAACATACTAAAAATAATTATCCCTTCAGGGAGATTAATTGAAAATACAACAAAAGGGAAATAACAAAATAACAAGTAGTATCATTCACAAATATTCCTTTTATCAAAATCTTCATTTTTTTTTAGTTTACAAGAAAAGAGCTCCCGGTCATTTAGCATGTAGGGGACCCCCAATATTGTACATATGGTGAAAAAGGAATATTTGTGAGTGAAATTATTGGTAACGTCCGCCCATCATTTTAATTATTTCATTTTTTTTTTTAAATAAATTAAATTTAATACGGAATTTTATTAAAGGCATTCATTAACGCTAATTTTGCACTTAATTATTGTCATGTTGAATGGCTTAAGAAGGTGAGTCTTTTCCTAATACTATATTCAAGCAACATTGCGGCCGACTTAATTCCATTAAACACAACTGTTAGGGTAAGCAGAATTAAGCATTCTGTCCGTATTTCCAACTTTTTCATTTTGGTTTACGCCTTTTAAGTCTTCAGCATCCAAATAAGTCAAATTCAGATCTGCCCATATAATTTATAAATTTATAATTGTATTTAAATAATGATCATTGAATTATTTCAGCTTTCAGCTTGAATGTGTTTAGTGTGATTTGTTATTATTAAAACTTCATACATATCAGTTCATACATGTGCAAATAATTTACGTACATTTGAAATTTACTTATTAAAAGCATAGTTACATTTAAGTTCGTATAAACAATTTTATTTAAACTTTATTTATATGTATTTTAATTGTTGAAATATTTTTCATATATTCATTAATGTTAAGCATGTGCATGTTTTATTTTCTCTATCATATGTTGTTGATTTTTATATATATTTATTAACTTATTTCTCAAGGATGTTTAATCTATTGTTGCAAATATTTATTTAGTTGTTGTATATATTTCATTCGTTCATAGGCATAAAAATTTACTTAATTATTTATCTTTCATTGATTTATATGCATATTCATTTATTTAATAGATTATACTTAGTTATCTGATAATTTATCGTATCTTGCGTTCACATTTAATTCTTTAAAATTTTGTTTCTGAAATATTTCTAATAAAATATTAAATCAGGCAAATTTTCAAGTTTCCTTAGCACGTTTGCAATATTACGATTTTGTTATATACATATCTATATATTCAGTAATTATCTTCTCAAATTATAATATAATTCGGAACCATGGGTGGCGGTAACGAAGAGTTGAACGACTTCTCCGGTCGCAGGGACGCTCTTGAGCGTAAACTTCGTTATCTGAAGCGTGGTCTTCAAAAATTTTTTATCTAAGCCTCGGATATCGTCGACGGGAACTTTTTCGAACGTGAAGTGATTTACGAGGAGACAACGCTAATGTGTGAGATAAATTCGAAAACATATGAGAGGAATTTGATGATCTCTACACGTCCCAGGGTGCTTCAGTCTACCCACCCGACTGGGAAAGAGGCTATGACGCCGTTTAGGGAGAGGAACGAAAAATGGAGGCTGGATATCGCAGATTAAATTCGTATCGCGTTGTCCGTGTTTATTTATTTATTATATACTATTTATTCATTAGTTTATTTTTATATCATTATATTATTTATCGCATGCGCGTGCATATATTTGATTATTTATGTATTTATCCATGTATATATTGCTTGTTTTTTTTAAAACTTGTAATGCTGAAAGCAGCCTCGCTTTTATTTTCTTATCGATTGAGCTGATTTCCCGCCTCTCACCACTTCGTTTGCTTATCTTGGCTTTTATTATTGTTAAATCTGGCTGCGCCAAATTTAGGTAGTATCTGTGTAAACTTGTGTTTGACAATCAGTGAGCTCAATAAATTTTCCAATCAGTGATTAAATCAGTCTTATGCAAATTAGCATTATCTTACAATGATTTCAAGAATATACAATATGTAAATTTATAAATAGATTACTTATAAATTAAATATTGATTTTTTAACAATATTCCTTGCATGTCACCACTTAGATAAAGTTACAAAATGTAAATTGTAATCATGATATCGTTGGAAAAGAAGTTCAATAGAAATTATATTCAGAGAATTAAACCTCAATCTAGGAGCAATAAAAAATATATCTGAATTGATTCTTCATGACCCAAATTCTTAAACTGTACAACTTAAAGGAATTTAAGCGAACTATTAACAATTTAATCTGAGGGACCTTGTAAAAAATATTCTTTTATATCCTAGTAGAATTATTTTTGTTTTTAAAGCTGCCATCATACTCAGGAATGATATCTTACGTCATATTAGGTTATGAGATACAGTATGGTGTAATTACGCACGTTCGGCCATACAATTACACAATTTTAGAATATAATTAACACTCATTTTGTTTTAATAGGTAAATTGATCTTACCTCTTCTATAAGCTCGTTGCCATGAATGCAAAATACGAACACTTGACCGAGGGTGTACAGCAAATAACCAATAACAGTGGAAGCATACACATCGACGCCTTCAATCTATTGGAACAGACAAATTAACATGAGTAACGGATTTTTAATCATCCCACTCAGTGAAAAATCAAGATTAAAATTAATATCAGTTTTTATGACATATTATTAATTATACATTGCAAATTAAGTATACCTTGGTAGCCTGGTAAGCGAGCAGTGTGAGGGTGACTGTACTTGTCAACATGTGGAGAAGCAGAGCGGAACCATAAGCATCCCCAATGCTCGAAACAAATCTGTAATTCCAAACTCATGTAATTCAAAGTCCAAAGTCACATTAGTTTCATGCAATCTATGAACGAAGAGGATAAAATAATATTTTTTTCGCGAGAAAGGGTGAAATGATGGTATTTACGACAATGACAACCAAAATCAATTATAATATAAATAATTAATGGGAGATTGATAGGAACGGAAAATAAAATATGTAAAGGAAAGGTCTTTGGAACGACATAAGAACTGAGGGGAATATAGAATAGAATAGAATAGGAAATAAACTTTATTCTGGGTCGAGGTCCCTTAAGAATAATAATTATGAACAAAAAATAAAAACCACATCCGGCCAAAAATTGCATTAATCAAAATTGAAAAGTATATACAATATCTTCAGTGAATGTATATTAAAACACATAAAAAAGGAAAACCATTTTGAAAAAAAAAAACATTATTGAAATGAAAAGAAAAACAGAAATCAGGGGAAATAAAAAAACAAATGTTATAAGCACTATGGGTAGATTCTTAAAATTAAAATTCAAACAATTTCAACAACGATTTACCTCTGTCAAAATTTAATTCATAATACACTGACAGGCAAAAAATTCCACCCACTTGATTTTTTCATGTTTTCATCTAAAAATATTTCTGCTTTGGATTGGTCTATTGTTTTTAATGAATAAATAGGTAATCTTTTTGTTTGTTTCCAATTAGGAATGTTAATGTAGAGGACAATAACCCTTAATCCATAATTCAATGAAATGATTCTAGATTCCAATGTTTACTTTCTATGGAATCAAAATGTTTATTCAGTATCGTTAGTTCATTGCCGTTTCTTGCAGCACATTTCTTAGTCTCCGGCTTTTAATTTTTTCAATTATTTTGATTATTAAAGGTAAAAAAGATTATAAAATTCCATAAATACTAAGTATTATCTACAAATACCATGTATTATATATAAATACAACTTTACAGAAATATTTTTAGATGGAAAAATCAAGTGGGTGGAATTTTTTGCCTGTCAGTGTATTTATTTCATTGTACGTAATTTGGGATGAGAGAAGGAATTGGTAGAGATGATATTTGAATGAGGACAAGGAAGAGGAATGGCGGATATCAGATGGCAAGGAATCCCAGAAGGCAGTGGATCGGGCAATACAGGAATATTCAAATGTCTTAGTTCTACGGGAAGGGATATAAAGGTCGGAAACAGGGGATCTTGTTTTCTGGAAGTGGACCACGGGTTTGAACTGTAGGAGTCTGTAGATGTAGGAAGGGTGTCGTGTATTGTTCGTTTGGAATAGGAAAGATCCAAGGAAATATTGTCGGCGGAAAGAAGCGAAGAACCACTTTAACTCGTCGTAATGGTGGGACACATGAGACCACCTCGAAGTATCGAAGACAAATCTTAAGCAGAAGTTCATAAGTCGCCTCAACCTACCCTCGAGTGCCATCGGGATGCCTCTGTACACGACACAATAGTAGTCAAGGTGGGGAAAATAAGAGAGGATACAAGGAGCTTGCGGATAGGTTGTGGGAGTAGCTGGCGGGAGCGATGAAATAACTTAAGGGTAGCTATTGACTTTCGGGAGAGGGGGGAGGGCGATATGGGGTTTCCAGTTTGGAGTTTTCACCCCTGATCCCTCTGTTTTAACGCAGGAGCTGAATGTGATGGGATGATCGTTGATGACTAAAAAGGAGGAAGGAAGTAGATGGATTTAAGAAGAGAACTGGAACCTATAGTAATGGACTGAGTTTTCATCGCGTTTAGCATTAAATTATTCAGACTTGCCCAGGCACTGATCCTATGTAGATCTTTCTAAATATTGGCGAACGCGACTAATAGCTCAGAAGGGTGAAAGGATAAATAGATTTGGGAGACATCAGCGCATAAATGGAGTGCACAGCAGTAGATGGATTTGGGAAAATCATTTATATAGGAATTAAAAAGAAGAGGGGAAATGCTCGAACCCTGGGCTACTCCAGAGGACAGCGTAAGGAAGGAAGATAGGTATTGGTTCGGAATGCTAACTGCTTGAGTCCGGTAGGAAAGGAAAAACTGAAACCAAAGAATAGAGCTTATTCGGTAATAAGAGTATTAAGAACACATAATAATTCGGAAAGCATTCCGGAATTCATAAATTTTATATTGTATTATATATAGAAGCTTTATCTTGTGTTATCCGTGTCCCCTGTCCATATCCGATGGAGCTTTCATGAATACATATAGAAATTAAATGATTCCAAAAATCATATAATTTAAAAAAAAAATGGCCTTACTCGACTTCCTTTAAAATTTCTCACCAAGTGTTCTTCCCTCCACCCTTTGAATACCAGACGCCAGAAAATCATTTATATGCCCTCATTAGTAGGACTGCTTTCATTATGTAAACCATTTATCATTATTGACTCTTCCCCACTAGGTCAACCAATTTAATTTAATTAAGGCATGTTTGTTTTATTTGAAAGTTTGTACACGTCTTCGTATTGTAAATAATATCCGTAGGACAATTCTTCCCCTCGAAATTTAAAGATATTTTAACTGAAGTTTCTAAGTAAGGTCTTGACGTTCAATAATATGTAATGCTATTTTAAAAACATCACTTTCGAAGTAGACGATCTTCCATCCACCCATTCGCTATTGGTGGTTTCGCTTCATTGTAGACCCCATGCAATATATTTAGGATAGGTTCACATTATGTATTTAGGATTATAACTAGAGGGAAGATTTTTTCTAAATAAATTTCAACTTAAAATTACCAGATACAACTTTGATACAAAGTTATACTAACTTGACAACGTGCTTATGACGTTCGACCCAATACTTGATAGCAGAACGAACCAGTAATTCTTGTTTCTTGGAGAGACCATTCGGTCCAATACCATTCCCGTTCGCCTGAATAGTTGACACTCCTGTCTGCCCGAACCCGGAGAAATCGCCTCGGTTACTGTAGATTCCACGAATGTCGAAATCGTTACCATCTAAACAAACAAGAAGTCACACAAATGATTAGTAAGACCATTATCAATATCGGCACTCTGATCATATTTAAATGTACTACCGTCAAAATCATTCCATTCATAAATCTTGGAAATGTTCCGTGAAAAACAAACTATTTTTTTTTAGAAAATGTTACATCCCAATTTGAAAAAAAATATCTAAAAAAATCACCTATTAATAAAATTAGTATCCACTTATACTTATACTAATGGTTCTGCCTAAGTTGTATTAGAACAATATTAAAATAAATTTAACATACCACTCATAAATGTTAAAGAGATACTACCCAACAAACACTTTACGGAAAATAAGAACCAAATATTTAATCAGTTACCAAGCAATATAAAAAAAATTGTATGCCAACTCGACATTACAACTGTTATTTATGGTGAACGCCGCAGCGCGTTTACCACATATTTTTAACCTAAATGGTAAAATTGAGGTAAACTCCTTGAGTCCAACCCGAAATACAAGATAACCCTGGAAGATAAATTTTTCAAAATTCCATCAGAACCTTACAAATCATCCAAATCACGTTGCACAATCCTTATTTAGCTCCACTCATCCCTACAATCGTCCTCGAAGGTGAAGCGGCAGTGGCCCACAGACCTTTTGTAGAATATTATAAGATTCTAAATATATTAGGATTTATTTATTTTACATTAGGAAAGCTTTCTTATCAAAGGCATAACTCTAACTGATTTATTGTTTCTAAAACCTATGATTACAAAGAGATAATTACTAAAGTTAGATCAAAGTGTTATTTGATAGAAACTATGTTAAATTTACAAATCCTTCATAAATAAACAAACAAACTTCGATTAATGAATACGTGTGATTTATTAACCCAAAAAGGTTCAGCCATACATGGAGGAGTTGGTGAAGAGATATCCAAGAAATATGGGTGTCCAAGACCAACCGTGATTCGGCGGTCTCAGATCAATATATTACTGCTTTAAATATAGAACATTATAATTGAATTATTATGAAGGTATGTGCTTACCGTTCTCAACTAGAGGCATGTTCGAGCCTGTGGACCCTGTTCTGAACAGTTCCCCGGAATTGGGTACAACGCTGTCTAATGTAGCGCTGAGTTCCATCAGAGGTTGCAGAATTTCCTTCAGATGCTTCAGCTGCTCACAGGCGAATATGACGAAAGAGCAAAACAGGATGTCGAGAAGATTGGCATGACTTAGTGAGATGAACAACCAGTAAAGCTGTCACGAAAACGGTACAATCAATCAGCAGCTTAGGTAGTTTTTAGGAAGAAATATATATCACTAAATATAAATATAGTTACCAAATGATCACATTTACTCATTACATACTGAGGCATATTCTCTCAAACACCAGTGTAAAATTTAGAAAATTAAGCCATGAGACAGCAACAATGGGGATCTTAGTTTACACTTGAAAATTTACTTTATTATTTAATCTCAAAAAATTAATTCGAAAATCACATAAACTTTGATTAGATTTTGTGAAATGGTTAAGACTGATAGGAATGCTATCTCATTTGGTCGAACTAACTATTGGCCGCCTACCTAAAAAAACTGGATTTTATTTTTATTTTAACGTCATTTTTCATCATTTTAGGATTAGAAATGAATTAAACGTTAAGTTTTTGAGCTTAAACCTTTACCTTAAAAATTGTGTTTATTTGAAATTTTTAACTCATATAGTTTTTAAACAATCAACGAAACCGAAAATGCTTATAGTTAGTTGACCCATAGAATCAAGGAAAATGGCTGTCATTTTTAAACGGTCATCTAGCTCTTTTCATTTCTAGGAACACGAAGATATTAACATAAAAAAAAAACAACTTAAAACGGTCATGCAATCAAATTAATTTATTGTGGATCACTCGGTATGGATTGGGTCATTTAGTATTATAGCATTATTATTATTTGCCTCAGCGTATTCCTTGCCAATACATATTTAAAGAAAGGTGGGAATTTAAATATGAAGAATAAAAAAACTGAACTATGGCGCATGAAAAAGAACATTACTTGTTTATATAACTCATATATTAAATTCATAAATCGTCTATACAGTATTTTTCAATGCTCACCTGATACACAAATGTTGCCAAGAAACAAAATCCCGATCTAGCATCCCAGGGGTACCAGGCGTCGACCATGAGTTGTGGCATTTCTACCGTGATGGTACTGTTGACATCTTCGGGATCAGTGATTTCCCGATGAGGATCCCCAAGGAAAGTTACAGTCGTCCATGCCATAACTGAGAGTATTGTGATAACACCAATTATCATAAGCAATTTCCTCATACGTGATAGGGCGGTCGCTCGGTGTCGGGCGTTGGATTCGGCAAAGAGAGGGTGTGAATTTACCTATATCATAAAAAAAAAATTGGATGGAGTAACCATCATAAAAGGGTTTAGGTTAAAATATTCATGAAGTAATCAAAGTATATATTGACCCCATACATATATTATTCCCTTTTACACGACAGTGTAAACATTTTCGGCGCACATGCTCACGTAAACAACATTTTTTTTCTCAGAACAATGGCAATGATTAAAATTTATCTTTAATTACCTTTCGGCTCACTAGATTAACTTTAATTTGTAGTTAAACTATATTTAAATAAGCGCTTAACCTATTTTGGCACAGTGATAACTAGTTTCTCAAAATAGTTTTCGCGCTTATATTCAGATTTTTAAAATGGAGTCAACGAAGGGCTTTTAAACGTATCTCTTTAAGACTCACATTGAATATATTCATAAATATTATTATAATTAATCATATAATTTTTTTTAAGTTTCCTTAAAATACACCTTTTGTATGTAACAGTTAAATCTGTGTAGTTATTACTGTTGTTAAATAAGTAGTTTTTCTTGTTTTCCAAAGAAAAAAAAAGAAGAAAACTATTATATAACCTACATAACGTTCTTTATGATTTAAAAATTGTCTATTTATTTCATTACAATAATTCAAGGTAATTCATTTTCATTTTCCAGGTAATTTTGATGAATTCTGGCCTGTGACAAAATTACTAGTTTCTATAATATTTTTTTTTTAAATTATTGTAGTTTATTTTCTTCTTACAAAGTCATTGATTTAGATGCTCTGTTAACCGTCCGACAACCACTGACCTCTGAGCGAATATAGCATATGAAAGTCGGAAGTTTTGATTAACTGAGCAATGATAACGTCAATGATACCAATCTATAAAAAATGAAGACATTTTGAAAATATTTTGAACCCATTGACATTTAGTTGAACTCGCCATAACAAATACAAACTGTATTTTTTTTTAAATATTCAAGTAGTGTTACAAAAGGAAAGTTAATTGTAAAATTATTTCATTAACAACGTGATAAAATTATGTATTAGTTCCATGCATATTATATTTATCACGAAGTTTTAGTATCTTTTATTTTTATTTTAGGTAGTTCGTAGACCGTTTAATATCTCTAACTACACTTTAATATCTATAAATATTTAATTGAGACAAACATATCCACACTTTAGTCGCTTACTTCCAGTGTGAACCCTAATAAATTATTTTGAAAAGTGAAATAAGTATCGATTTATATATAAAAACGACCACTGAATCCCATGATGCAATTATTTTTTTTTTAAAAGAACCTGAATATTTAAAAAAAAATATATGAAAATATGTTTATTTTCAAACCTTTTTTTCAAGGAACCTAATGAGACATTCCTCGCGTATTGTTAAAAAAAATTAATTTATCTGTAGCTTTTTAACATTTTTATTCGGATGAATATTAAAAATTAATTTATTTTATTGTGCCATTATTGAGAATAACAAGTTAATTTTTTTTTTAGTCCAATTTTAATTATTTTTACCCTTCCAGAATCGTACAATATTATTTCTGTTCAAATCGATATCTAATAAACCTTTCTTTGTTGAAAAAGAAATAATTATTCAGTTTATTTAAAAAAAAAAAAAATTGTTTCGATATTAGATAGGAATTTTTTTTTTTTTTTTTTTTTCCGAAAATATGTCAATGGTAATTAGGGCCCTGTTTGGAAATAAGCGACTCACTTCAGAATTACGATATACCATAGCATTTTACGATTACCTGATTCCATGCTCCAAAGGTTCGGTAGAAATATTTGCTTCTGACAGCAAAATATCCAAATTTAGTGACGCTGTGAAGAAAAAACAGAGTAGTGATGGTGGCTGCTGCCATCTGATCGGCATCGTAGGTATCCAAGATGAGGAAGCAAGTAAGAAAGGCAAACTGCATCACCACCAAGAATGTTGTCAGCCAACAATATCCCAGTCGTATTAGCCGAACCTGAAAAGGCAGAATTCACTAACGGATCCACACTTTAATTTTTTTTTGGGGGGGGGGCTTCAGCCCGAATGATTTTTTTAATGTATATATTAGGATAATTACTTCGGAAGAAAGAAAGAAATCAAATACCTATTTGAAATGTTGTTTAAGTGATTCTTCAAGTCCTATACAATGCAATTAGACGAACAATAATACTTTTAGAGATAATTATTTTCACAAGACGTGATTATATTTTACTACTGGGAGGGGAGGAGCTACAGCCCGAAAGCCCTCCCCCCCCCTGTAGATCCGCCTGTGGCTGAATTTAAAAAATAAAACAATCCAAACTATAAAGCCAAGAGTCTCAAACATACAAGTGAACAGTTAAATTGTCAACGTTGCGATCGAAAACAAGATCACATATATGCAGAAAGGAAAAAAAAGTAGTAGAAAAAAAAATTTCTATTGACATTTCATCAAACCATCCAAAAACATAATGAAGAAAACAAGAGAGGATGGTTATATAAGACAGCTGATTAGCAGAAATATAGAAAAAAAAATCAATTATTCATGCTTGAAATTTAATAATGATAAAAAAAATATTAATAAAATTAAATTTAAAAAAATAAAAGAAGATTATACATAAATACATTAATAAATAATGTATTATATTAATAAATAATAAATACAAATTTATTAATAATAAATTAATAAATACAAATACTTAATAAATACAAAAAAAATACAAAAAAATATTATAAATTAATTAATAAATACAAAAAAATAAAGGTCGAAGGTGTGCTTATATACAACATACATACCGCAAACAATGGATACTTACGGCTTTATAGTTTGTATTGTTCCATTCATAATGTCTCTTTTCAAGCTCTTAGCTTATTATTGTTAAAAAAAAAAAAAAATCAATTAAATAAGCAATTTGCTTATGTTAGTGTTAGTCTAGAGTAGTTAGTCATGCGGAATAGTATAACTCACGCGCCTGTCGGAGCTCAGAGAAACATTTTCCCAAAACTTGACCAGTTAAGACGTTTTTGTTTACATTCATATTGGGATTTTTATATATTTATAAAATGACCATTACTATGTAACTATACAATTTTTCAATCTTTCCTCCGATGATATAATAAAGATATAACCCTCAAGAATATAATATATGAATTCAATAAAGTTACCTTAACGTTACAAACGTTACATCAGCAACGATTATGACAATATTTTATAACTTTCATGAGTGTTTCAGCTCTCCTAAATTCTGGATGAAACATTGTTTCATTACTTCATTTTTCCAATAAAGATCCAGATTTACACTATACCTACTTGTGATGAGATAAAAAGAAAATCCTCTAAGTTTTCGTTCAATGCCACATCATTAGTTTTCTCCCCCTCGTCAGTAATTTTTTTACAATCTCATCTAGATTGCATTTGTCATGCTTATAATTTGTTTTTAAGAACTATAATAAAGTTCATACTCATACATATATCACATCAATTAAGAAAAGTGTTCATACCATTCCTCCAGTTTCTTCATGATATTCCAGTAGCCAGTGACCTGTCAGTTGCATGAGTCTTATGTTTGGCCAGAGGTCTCCGACCAAGCCATGCATTTTGATCTTCTGCATCTTGGATATTCACTAACAAAATAAACAAAAAAAAAAGGATTTATATCAATTATACTTATATCAATTATCAAATAAGATTTATATAGCCGTTCTTAATTAAACCTTAAAATCGTACTAATTAATAATAAAAATAATATTTTATTTATTCTGTGACGAGTCCCTTTATAATAATACAGAAAGGCAGAAATGTGGGCTCTGGAGCCTCAGAGATACATAAAAAATAATTGTAAAGTAAACACAATGTATATGAGCACTCTGGATGTAAAATCAGCATATTAGAAGATTGGCCTGTCTAAAGAAAACAAAGAGAAGACGGCTTTTACGGTACCTGGCCGTGGATTGCTTCAATTTAACAGGATGCCCTTCGGCTTTCATAATGCTCCCGCAACTTGGCAAAGACTGATAGATTAGGTGCTTGGGTCTGAATTGGAACCATATGTTTTTGTGTATTTGAACGACGTGGTGATAGTAACACCAGATTTTCAGCTGTTCATCGAGGCGCTTAATATGGTTTTAGAGCGGATTAACAACGCTATTGTTGCACTGAACCAAGAAAAGTGTAAGTTCGCTCGCGAGGAGCTTAAGTACCTTGGGTAGCTTGTGGACAAGCATGGATTATGAGTAGATCCAGAAAAGGTGGCAAGTATCCTCAATTATCCTCGTATGAAAACAATTACTCGAATTACAGCGTTTACAGGACTAGCTTCTTTGTACAGAAGGTTTATTCCCGAATTCGCTTCGAGAATGGCAGGGACGCATGGCAGCTGATGCTTTATCACGTGCAGTAGATGGAGTATCTCTAGACCCCAACTTGACTGTAGCAGCAGTCGTAATTTTGGAGAGGAGACGGATTCATGGTATAAAAACATAAAGCACAAAGTAACGGAAAATCCGGAAGACTTCTCGAATTAGCGCGTTACCGAAGTGGAAGCTGGTGGTACCGAGGCACCAAAGAGATGCAGATCTGAAACAATGCCACGAAGATCCAGCTACAGGACATTCGGGAATAAATAAAACAAAGAAAAGAGTTGCCCTATATTATTTCTGGCCAAACCTGATCCGGGATTTCGCAAGGTTCGTAAAGAGATATCCTACCTGTCAAATCACGAAACCGGAACAGAAAGCTCCTGCGGGCTTGATGGACATGACGCCCTTACCTTCAAAATCCTGGCAAAAGTCGTATCCACCGATCTTATGGGACCAGTTCCACTGTCCTCTAAACAGAATAAGTATTCGTTGGTGGTAACTGATTATCTTACCAAATTCGTCCCGAGGTGACAGCACAGACAGTAACAAGATACGTAGAGAACGACGTGTTTCTGATGTTTGGAGTGCCTGAACTACTATATTGTGATAATGGTACTCAGCATACCAGGGAAAATTTAAGAATATGCTAGAAAAATACAGTACTTATTGTCGGTACAACCCGGCATACCATCCCTGCTGAGAGAGTAAACAGGGTTCTGAAAACTATGATATCATTTTATGTCAAAGATATCCATCGTTTATGGGACAGACATATCGCGGAATTCGGATTTGAGTTGAGAATAGCTAACCACGAGACAACCGCCTGCACTCCAGCCTTTCTTAACTTTGGAAGCGAGTTATTCAGTCACGCCTCCCAAGACGTGGTTTGTGATGGATTCAAGGAAATAACTAAGATCGACGAGAAGCTAACGTTAATTCTGGAAGATGCCAAAAGTCGATTGCGGCAGGCCCAAGAAAACAATGCTCGACGTTATATAATCACATAATGATATTATATAATCTTAGACATAGGCTAGTCAAGTTTGTTGAAAGTATGGGATAAATCGCACACCCTCTCGGATATAAGTAAATAATATACCCCCAAACTCACACCGAAATACGAAAAGGATATAGTCAAAAGAGTTTTGTCCGATCAGGTGTATGAGGTGTTCGATGAGGCTGGAAAACCGTTGGTAATCAGACACATCCAGGAGTTAAAAGCCATTTCACCAGAGACTTTAAATGATGCAGAAGAACGCCCTTGGCCATCCCCTGGAAGAGAGGAGATTGTCACAATTGACAAAATTATTAAAAGATAAGAATTTGAAAAAAAACAGGTATTGGAATTGTTTTGTTTTTGGAGAGTGGTTATACAGATCGAGATTGGTGAAATAGACTGCAAACGATCTTTGGTTATTTTGTGAGAAATTGTGTTAATTATTTTTGGTTTTAGTTGTTTCTATTATAAACAAATTGACTAATTATGAATCTGTTTTCAATTATTTAACATCACCTGCAAAAAAGAAACTCCTTCTGTAACATAGTCTGTAAGGAATAACTGAATCCCCCTAAACTGGGAAAGCCCTTATTAATTATAATTATACAATTATAATTTTGTCATTCCGTCTACTTTTAAAGAAACGTTACAATGTAGTCGTCCCCATACTGACTTACGGCAGTGAATCCTGGATAATGATCAGGATGAGTTCTAATTCCCTCAAATGTAATGACCTCAAAGCACAAAAGCCAACTTTGAGAGTCAAAATAAAAAATACAACGGTAAGAATTAAGCTGGGAGTGAAATACAATAGAGGAAAACAGGCTATGATGGTTTAGTCATATCAAAAAAATACAGGAGAGAAGAATGGCCAAAACCATCTATGAAGTGAGACTTAGAAACGTTTAGTCACAGAGGATTTCGAAAGGACAGGAATGAATTGAAAAAGACGCGGCCACCTGGTGCAAGAACGAGATAAATAGATCGCTGACATACGGTAGAAGAAAAATCGATTAAGAAAAAGTATAAGATATATATATATATATATATATATATATATATATATATATATATATATATATAATATTTATATATAATATTATATGAGTAAATACATATTGATTCAATTTTATAACTGAGCTCTGTAAGCTACGTCTGACCAATATAATTCACTGTATTTATTATTAATTCCTGAAGTGGCATCGTTCTAGGGATGCTTTCATATTTAAAAGGGCTAAAGTAGGAAAAACAGTCACAACACTTTTAATTTTAATATTTAAATGGCAGCAACAATTTTGAATGTTAAAAAAATAGGATATCTATACTTTGACCTTGTGATAAATGAATAAATAGCCAATAACGAAAACTTTGTAAAAGAAAAGTTGTGTATTCTGAGAGGCGCAGTATCTCATTATAAATTTTAGTTGCATTTCAAGAAAATTACGTAAAGAGTCATTCTGAATTTAAGATGGGTTAAAAAAAAAAAGTTAACCATTTTTATCGAAGCTAGAAGACCAATAATTCTAATAACCTTTTTTATTATTTAGTTGTTTTAATCAGTGTCGAAATTATTACGTAGGTTCAATTTAACCATTCTTTTAAATATTTTAAATTTGGTTAAGAACAAGACTAGAAAAATATATTTGTACAGGTAAATAGATATGTGATAGTATTATTATGATGTAATGATATTTTTTATCATTTTCTACATTTTAAACATCTTATCAGAGGATTTTGTTTCTTAAAATGATTTGTGTCAACAAAAGTTCAAGGCAAAAGTTCATGAGATAATAAGTTCAAATGTTTGTTTATGGTTAATGATAAAATGTATGTTATACGTAGTAAGTTAGTTGTTATCGTTTGTTTTTCTCGAATCGGAACTATGAGCTAGCAAAACGCGGAATAGTTTTTACCAATCTGTTTGTATATGCGTGTAAAATAAGAAACGAAACATTACCGATAGTACTAAATGAATTGAGATGGAAGGCAATGAGATGGCTTCAACCCTTGCAAGGAAGGGCTTAACTTAAAAACATTGGTTATTCACCCAGAGACGTAATACGAAATGTAAAAATAGTCTATCCAGGAAATAAATTGTTTTGGTTTAAATAGATATTTTGGGTTTCAAAACGAGTATAAAACAACATAAATTTTAGCAATTAGTCAAAGGAAAAGGCTAAATTGTCAGAGGGACTATATTTGACTAAAAACAAGTTGAGAATAATAATATACCTCCTCATGGTCACTCACCTTTAGCATATCATTTCGAAAAAACAAAATGAGTGAAAAATTCCATTCCACCAGTCCACTGTGCCTCGAATATGAAGAAAGGGCCAAACACATTCTGCGTGAATGTGGGGTCTTTCCCTTATATGGACTATATTATCTAGAACTGGCCCTAAAACCTAAAGTTATTACTACAACCAAATATGTTTTGCACAATTCCTAAGGGATCTCATGGCGATCAGGAAAATTTTCATAAAAGATACACTTGAGTTGCGATTATTCTCCGTCCCTCAAAATAATAATAATAGATGATAAAGATCTATTGCCACGTTATACGATGTTTATAACATGTGAAACACTGGTAGTCTTGATCGCATCACACGTTAACTCTCCCAAAAGGGGGGAGGAGTCTCCAAACTTATCCATCCCGCAAACACCTTCAATCCGACCCGCGAAAGTTTCTTTGATTACATGATAATATTTGAAAAAATAAGACATTCAGCACATTACTCACACACGAAAGTATTGTTACATGTTTGCATGTTTCACAGTTGAGGTGTCATTTATGAAACAGAATTATTTTTTCATCACAAGCCATGTCCCACGGCACTTGGGTGGTTGTCTAAATACGGCCAGCGGAACTTAGTCGAGGTTTCAATGTGGCCCGTTAACTGAACATTGGTATTTTTTTGGCAATTCCAGGCATTATTTTTTGCTCTGAGTTAAATTCAAATAATCCACGACATGGACAGTGAAAGATAGAGGACGGAATAGCCGAGCACCGTTGGGGTGTGGGTCCAGAGTGCTCTGTTCTGAACGTTGTGGGTTCGATTCCCACCTGGGTCATTTCGTTTTCATTTCTCTGGTAAGTACGCGACGCCACCTCACGGTAGCCGTCAGGGGTTGGCAAAAAGGACTCAGTGGCCTACTTGCCGGTCTAGTTCCCCCCACTAGTACCAGTACCATTAAGTCTGTAAAGATAAGAAAGCAGTAAAAAAATTTACTTGGTCAAATACATACCGTCACCTAG